GGAAAAGAGCAAGACTGCTCGTGCACTTAAGCGTGCTCGTGCTCGTGCACTTAAGCGGGTCCGGGACGGGGTAAGTGGGACGAGCCCTCCATGGGGCTTAGCCTGAGCCATCCTTCGCGAACTTGCAGTACAGTACTGGAAAGGAATCGAATTATTCATTACTTATCAGTTTTTCACCACCTTTAATAAGTACACAAATAATTTTATCTATTAGATTTCAAAGAAAATTCGATGGTTATAGCTATTTTTGAGTGGTCACCAATTTTCAACAAAAATTTAGCTTAAATTTGCTCGATTGAGGAATGTCGCCCGCCGAGTCAATTATATAAAGGAGCAAATAAATATTGGTCAGCTAGTTACAAGTTACTGTACAACAGTACACTGTGAGCACTATGTATTTGTATCTCTTACTCATTATTTTTTTTATTAGCTAGGGATATTAGCCAGGAATCAAATCGCATCGTTTCAATTTTACTTTTTTTTCCTTTTTGCCTCTTGAAATGGCTCAAAATAAGCGCTTTTTAAAACACGTGAGAATCATTTTGTAAAAAAAGATAGGGTTTTTCAATAGAAAAAATCGTTTGTGTTATGGTCGATTTACTGTTTCTAATTCACCGTTTGCTATAGATGCATGTATCAAAATAGAACAGAAAATAACGGACAACATCATAAAAGTCGGGAAAACTTAATTCAGCAAGCTGAAAACAAAAAAGAAAGGATTGTGATGAAATAAAAATAGAAAATTGTGTGAAATTTCATTATGTGTTACCATAAAAAAGCCACTATTTAAGGATCCGAGCAATACGTTTCATCTAAAATCGTGTGATTTGCCAAAAAAATGCTCCTCACCGTGAACATTTTCCTACTTTTGCTCGCAATTTCTACGCAATCGGAAGTGACTTTTCAAGTGCGTTTCCTTAAGTTGCTTAAATTTTGAGATTTCCAGGTCGATTTGGTACCAATTTGTGCGAATGGCGCATATCCACCAAGTCCAGTAAGATAATCTTTGAGAAGAAAAATTGGAAGTTTGGGGTTTGGCTCTTTGGACCCTAGAGCAGAACAGTCATTCTAGAGCCGATTTTCCAGGCCAGCTCAAAGCCAAGTCAAATATTTTTGCTCAAATTCCTATAAATTCCAGACAAAACTTGGCCCAAAGTCACGGTTTTAGACAAAATTCTGTTCAAAGAAAGATCCAGATCCAAATAAGGCTAAATAAGAGCCACACCTTAATGCTTTGCATCGCTAGACAACTTTTGAATTTTACCGTCTCCCATTCCAAAAGCGAGCATCGGCTCTTTCAGCGTCAAGCCCCTGGCTTCGAGGCATACTCGCTTTCCAAGATCATCACTCAATATCCGTTTCCAGCTAGATAACATAAGGTTTTTTCACTACTAATATCTAAGGTCCACCTCTAAGAGAGCGACGTCACCGTGATCCCAAACACGAGCAGTCTGGCTTTGAGCTTGTACCTGATTACTTGTTTACTGGCTGAGACATTGTCATACCTCAAATTTATTGCCTGGCCTGAACCTGTAGCTCAAATAGTAATACCATCGGACATTTTTCCGACGCAGCTTGCCGCCGTCAGGAACCCATTTTGGGGCAATATAGGATCCGCCGCAATTGGTCTTCAGATTAGTTGTCCTTAAATCTTTCCTTCTCATAATCTCTTCCTGAAAATCTTCTGGTCACTTACTGAAGAGATATGAAATCTTACTGTTCATTAATCGTTAAAACTGCAAATTAGACCTGCAATGCCTCATTCGGACTCAGAATTTATGGGGGAAACTTATGGAACACCTATCGAGGAAAGAACTTACTCATCCACATGTTCCACGCGAACAAAATAGGGGTAGCTTGAATCTTTAGAATCCACTCCTTGATGAATCTTAAGATTTCTTGGGCCAAAGTTCTAAATTTCAAAGGTTTGTTTAAAAATGTTTCATAAACTTATCACTTGAAAGTGCTTTGTGTTAAGTTTATTATTTGTGCAAGCTGACATACCCAAGAAGTTGGGTCCACGCTCGTTTTGCCGCAGTCAAACTCTGGAAAAGGAAAAAAATCGATCTAATAGGCTATGCTTTACTACCCCTTTTGGGTCCTTGGCTCTTGTTTATTCCAAGTGTTTGGATTAAACTCGCGCCCTAGGGCAAAATCCGTCAATGCCGTTGGCTTCGTGATAGTAAAAAACATTTTCAAATAGAACTGTGTTATTGGGTCGAGAATCATCAACGATACCAGTCGTTCCAAAGTTCCCGAGTTGCCTTAAAAATTTTTGCGGTTAAAATTACCGTAGCTCTAAGCAGAAAATCCTTAGCTCTAATCAGAAAAATCCTACCCGTTTTTAGCAAAAAAGAGCAAAACTTTTTGGTAGCCCGGAGATTCCCTTCCGATTTTATTCAAATCTCCAAAGAGCCACGGAAGCTCATCTGAATGCGATGCGTCTAAACACATGTTAACTAATTGCCGACCGTCAAATTATTTGACATTTCAAAAATTAAAAACGCACGCTGATTTTGATTCCAAGATGGGGCCGCCAAAGTCGCGTTATAGGTGTAAACAAAAAGCGAAGGAGGCACCCTAGCACTTCTCAGTTTTCGACTTCGGTGACTATGGGAACATGAAACACAAGGTCGGTCATTGACTAAATTGGATAAACATATTCCAAACTAGACTGCGTTACGTTGACCACGACTTCAAACCAAAACCATTGTTCGGCTGTGATCGCTGTTTCGTTAGTCGTTGCTCTCGTCGAATACAGCTTCGGGTCGTATTTTTGAGTGTAAAAATTTTCCAAAGTATTAAGCCGTTTGTCGGAAATTCCCATGTAAGTGGTGATGGTTTTGCGAAATCTGAGCGCCAGAGTAGTCCGTCTTGCCCATGTACTTTGCAAACAGATTTTCTAAATGATTTGGAAAAATTTCTTGGAAGCGACAGACCAAAAACGCCCATTCGCCGGTGGTGAGGCCAATCAAAAAGTCATGTCCACGGCTTGATCTATCCATTGATTGGTGACCAGATTTGGGAAAGTAATACCCATCGGCAAACAAAACCCAATTTTTTTCCTGCTTCTGGAAAACGAGTAAAATCTTCTCTAAAGTCTCGAAACGAGCTGGGTCAAGAGAATGCTAACGGGTAAACGAATCTAACCAGATCGATTTGCTCTAGCGCCTCCAGAGGGGCATTTGCAAGGCATCTGTAAAGAAGCTCCTCAAAGTGCTTGTCGTAGGGGTCGTACAAGTTGGCGTTGCAAAGCTAAATGTGAGATTTTTCGCAACAAGGACGAATGCACTTCTTGAGCCGCAGTGGCACTTGGGGACGCCGGACTTCCAGTCCCGTTAAAGCAAATTTCCAAAACACCTGACATCAGTATTACTCGCTTGAAAAGTGCTAAAGCTGCCTTTTTATTTTAAAAAAAGTAAATGTGCCTTTTTCCACCGCAGGTGAGATAGCCAGCGCATGAGCAGAGCATGCCCCAGCCGAGTGTCCAATCAATGTCATTTGGCTTGAATCCCCACCAAACCTAAATTTTTCGTTAGTTGTCCTTTTTTCTAAATCACTCATGAATATTTTTGGAGATAAAATTTTTGTTTTTACATTTCTTTGGACAGATCTCTTCAGATGCATCTATCAGAAAAGATTTCATAGCCAAGCAACCGCTCTGGGCTTTATGCTTATGTCTATAAATACGTAATGAATCTCAACACGAGTCTATTGATTATGACCTAGCTTTTCAATATTTTGAATGCTGAAGTAAAATAGTGGCAGGATTTCTACCTGATGATGTTTCGAGTAAAAGGAAGAAAAAACTATGGCGTGGACATTTGTTTGTTTCAATGTCTTATCATTCTTTAGCCCGAAAAGCCCGAAAACTTTCATTATTATTCTATTTTAGGACCATTGCTTCAGATCGAGCTTTCTTTTTGTAAAAATATTAGTGTTAAGAATTAGTTTTGGATTTATGATAGATGTTAGGATAGATGTTTTGGGAAAGAAGTAGCCTCAACATTAATTCGCGACACTCTTTTCCTTTAAAAATAGTTCACAAAGAGAACGTCACTTCAAAGATTGATTTTAAGCCTAAAATAAAGTGTTGAGATTTTTTTTAAGCATCTGTTTATTGAATAGGAAAACTGTCTGATTTGCGGTAGTTTCGTGAATAGATGTCTTTTAGAGGATGTCCTTTGGCTTGACGCTTGCTCCCCAAGTGCCCTGGAAACAACTTCAAAACACACCGTATAAACATAGCGTAAGAAATATTCGGCTAGAGGCTTTCGGTCTACAGTGCCCATTATCAAAAATTTTTGTTTTAAATTTATTTTAGACAGATGGGTACTATAGGCTTGTTTTTCTCAGATGGTAAATGTCAAATGACTAGCATTTCATGGAGAAATGAAAAAAGGATCCTTTAAAGATCAGCCCTTCCTGATTCTTTTTTTTCTGATTTCAAAGCACGCACCACTTATTGACCGATTCCCCGAGACTCGAGGTCGTTGTCCCGCTTCGTACATCTGAAACGGAATCTTGCTTTATCACAGGGAAAATCTGGAATTTATGAATTCAGGAAAAGCTTTATTACCCCGAGATGTAGCGGAAGTGGACGATCATCGATCGAATCGAGGCGGAGACATGGACGAATTTGGCGAATGGGGCCAATCTTTAACGAGTTTTGAGACAATAACAGATTTTCAAAAAGCCCACAAGTCAAGTTGTTTCGTTCCTGTTTGTTTTCATAGCAAGCATAAGAAATCTTCTAACCCTTGTAAGCTGATCTAAATTAAATTAGACGCAGACCAGGATATAAGACGTGTTCTTAATAAATTCTTGATTCTTATATACTAGTAAATCTCGTCACAAAGGCTCTCCCGGAAACAAACTGTAAGCAGCTAGCTGGTAGTGGTGATAGATAAAGGATATGATTTGTTTGTTAAATCATATATATTTTTTCTCACCTGATCGTGTTGATGTATCATTGCTAGACCGAGATGTTGTGGTTCCATTCTTTGTGTTCGCTCGTTAATTTCTCTTTTCTTTGTCTTCCTTTTCTTTTCAAAAATACACTGATAAGAAACGAATCGAAGAAATCTCTAAAATTTTAATTAAAAAGGATCGATTGCAGAATCGTTTGGAAAAGATTAGTGAAAGGAGTGCTTGGATTGACGTGAAAATTGAAGATTGACGTGACGTCAATCGTGACGTGCTTGGCTTGACCCTTTTTCGGATTTTTTTCGAAAAAATGAGAGGACACCGAAAAAACAGGATACAAACAGACAGATACCACATAAGATATGAAGGTTGCCTATTGCTGAAGGAAAGCAGGTGACGCGGAGGCAAGAAAAGACATGAATGGGGAAAGGTACGGTAAGCGGGACAGGAAAAAGGAGGAATGGCAATTCGACCTACATATGCATCCGATGATATTCAGAATATTTAAATTGGCTAGTCCAACATTAAGATATTTGAGCTCAAAGTTGGGGTGCAAAAGGGGATGGGTATCGAATAGAATGCACTTTAAAAGAACACGTCATGCACAAGGGTCTTGCAGCTTCGAGTTTAGCAAATTTCGAAGTGTAATATCTTTTTTCCAGACAGGCGAATTTTTCAGTTGTCAGAATTTCTATTTTTATTAAGATATTTGAGCTCAAAGTTGGAGTTATCGCAGAAATTATCAAATTTTAATACTTCTTAATCGCAATCGTCCCTTATCTTGGTTCAGCTTGTCCGTGATGTTCCTCATCTAAACTTTCAATCAAAAATCCAAGATTCTCCAACTTATGTTGTAGAAATGTTGTACGAACGCGGCACATAGCTCATCCAACGTGATACATTTGCTTTCCAATAGATCAGCAATAACTTAGTCGACGGTCGTCGTCAAATAGTGACAAACTGACTCCTCCGAGAGCTCGCCGATGCCGTAGAAACTAAAAGAGAAATGTTAAGATAGAAGAGAAATGTTAAGATAAAGCCATTTTATATGCAACTTTCGGACATGATTTTGACCTACAAAGAGAACTTTTTAGCCGTACTTTGGATTCGCAAAGAGTCTTCGGTAGAGATATGTGCCTGCGATGTACTCCATTACTGCTTTGTGGTGATCGTCCCGGGGTGCCAAAAAACACCATTGAACAAATATTTTATTAGTAAGTTTGAACGAGATTGGGACGGAGTACTTCAAGTGTTTGTAGCAAATAGAAAATTTCAAAAACTGAGGCTAAAATACCTAATATATTATTGCGCATAATATTACAGAAAATAGGTATTTTTTGTTCTTATAAACAAATAATGCAAATGCATTTGTAGAGGATTTTTATTTGAACGTGAATATTAGTGGCATATTTCACAGTTTGTTTCAGTGGTACGTTATCTTAATTAACTGCGATACGATAATTTATGATATAACTGCGGATCGGTCTGACTCGGAAAATAGCTAAAAATCGACCTCAGTGGGGTAACAGAGCTTATACAAAAGTTTACAGAAACTTGGGGTTTAGAGCTGCTTAAACTATCTCTGGAGTTGGCTTTAGTTGCTTAAATTCCATATTTCACAGCTCATACAAATTTCGACTAAAGAATTTCCGTATAATAAATTTCTTGTCGTTTTCATATTAATAAAGCTATGTGCAGTTCAACAACAAATTCAATATGTCAAAAACTACGTATAAAACCATTTATCTGAAAATAAAAATCTATGTTCAAAGCAAAAATGCAAGGCAAGCTCACCGTATCGTCAAAATCACAAGTAAGTACACCAAACTTAAACAAAAGTTCTCCTAGAAAAGGTAATAAACTAGTTATGAAAATTATTCCTGCTCCAATTCGACCAGTACTCGGCCACAATCTTTTGGATGAAGAAAAACGACTGGTTTGTTGTGGGCGCCGATTTTTGACTTCTCATCGAGGGGACGAATTCCAAGAGGTCTAAAATTCAAAAAATTGAATCTCGAAATCTCGACAGATGATTCTGAACGTTCCAAAGAGCAATAAAAGTTTAACATTTCTTGAAAGCTAAACAACAAAGTATTGTACTTACTTGACACTTTTCAGTGCTTTTTCGATGTCTTTAACCGATGCAGATGTGATGCATACCACCACTCTTATTCTTGTTCAAGAAATCCTAAAGAAAAAATAGTGTTGACTTTTGGAGTCAGCCAACCTGAATAGGTCTCTTATCACCCAGCGGCAACAAAAATTCAAGTTTTGTGTCGGGCGGCAGCTCAACGAAAACCGTGTAGACCCCATGTTCTGGTAGTGGCTAAATATATGATATGATAGGATATGATCCCAGTTGTGTCGGGAGAAATTCACAATTTTAAATCGAACCTTTCTCTGTTTCTCGTCCCTCATTGCAATCACTTGCGCATACTATCGACGTGTTTTGGACGCGTAATCGGGGTCCCCAATTCCATCTCATAAAATATCCTCTTTTGCTTTAGCTCTATAACTTTTTCGAAGCATAATCATTTAGCTTAAGAAAGCGCAGAACCCTTTTGGATGCCCGTTTAACTTTGACATACATTAACAGTCGGTCTAATACCATAAATTATTGCACCATTCTGTGAAGCAGAAGCGTGATTTCGTTGTTGCAACATCTAGGTCATAATACATGTGAAAATATTCAAAGTCTGAAATACTGAAGGAATTCGAAGATCCGTGTGACTGGATCGTGCTTGACTGCTCGTTTCATCAGACGTTAAGGCCTAAATCAATAGAATTTTCCTGAAGTAATAAGCTTATGTATTTATTTCAATCTAAAACATACTGCTACTTGCGACCGCAGTATCACCAATGACTTTTGGAATTCCAGATGATGAGTCTCCTTTAGTAGCTTGTACTAAAATTCAAATGGTCCTTTAAATAAGTATTGAAAAGCTACCTTCTCATTCATGTCTTTTGCAAAGATAAATACATCGGAAAACTTGTTATTTAATGTTTTGATCATTTGCTCATTTGTTTTGATCAAAAACGAATTAGTGGTGAAGCTTTTGATCGGTATTGAATAGGCAAATTAACCTCAACTTTAATATCTTGCTTCTAAATTGAGCAACAAGTGCAGAATGACAAGGGAAACTTCTTCTTTGCAACTAAAACAAATTTGATTAAGCCAAATTTGAAGCGTTTACGAGTTTTGTAAAACAAAAGAAATCCGGTGATTATCTTGGTACTCGATGGTATTTGAGAAATCAACGTACATGTAGGTATATTAGAAGTTTTACGCCAATTTATTTGACTATTTTGCTACAACAACAGTCAACCAAATTTAAAACATTATCATTCACCAAAGAATGCTTTCATTGATATCCAAATCATTGAATTCTATCACATGGAGAGGTTCGACTCCATCCAATTTTTGTCAACCTTTGCATAGACCTGCGTTTATTCATTCTTCAGCATCGTAGCTTGTAATGGAGTCTTCTCTCACTAATTTTCTTTCTAGAGGTCACCTAGTTTTGAAAATGACTGTCTTCAAACGTTCAGCTTTCAATTGATCAGCTTAATTTTAGTCAAATTCAATCTGCAAATCACAAGCCTCAAAAACTTCAGGTGTTTTTAGCAAATAGAAATTTTCAAAAACTGAGGCTAAAATTTCAATGTTGAGGGCTTCGAATTCAAAAATTTGGAGCTGGTTTAATTTCTGTTTGTCTGTTTAATTGTTAATTTTGATTGGACTATGATACCTTTATAATGACTTTGATAATAAAAATTGCTTGACAAAGATATCTGGCCACAGCACATCCCACAAAGATATAGGAGCTCTACATGGAAAGATTTAACGCCTAACAAGCAGCTGACATAGCTAACAAGCAGCTGTCACACCTAAGAAGCAGTGGACACGCCTAACAAGCAGCTGACATTTAAGTCTCGTCGTCTTTTAAGATTTCGAAAATAGAAAAAATCTTTTCTAGCTTACTTGCAATAATGACGAAATAGTCAAAATAGACTTGTTTCAAAGTCAAAGTTGTTTCAAAGAAGTTGTGTTCTTCAAGTATATTTTGTGCTCGATACACACTCTTTCTAGTCCATTTCTGAAGTTATTTTATATATGTTTCGTATTCGGACAATGAATGATTAACATTTGCATTTGTTCAGCGAGAAAGTGAAAAGAAGGAAATCGACAATTCCAAAAATCTTTTTGTGCAGAGAGAAAGAAAATTCGGCAACAATTCTATCAATTCTAGTAAGAGAGTAAGAGATCGCTATGTGGAAGGACCGTATGCCAGATGGGGTCGGAAAATGTAGCTGACGATGAAATCTTGTGGGGGATTTCAGTGTTGAGCTTCTGGGAAGACTTGAGGAAGAGTAATTCGAGGTGAAAAAGGAGAACATTCCAAACGTTAGTCAAATTCTGTAAATGTTTTCAGTTAAATTTTGATAGTTTAGCTGGAGTTTATCTAAAGTGAGTGATTTAACTGGATTCTAACACAGAAAGGTTTTTAACTGGATTCTAACACCAGGAAAGGCTTTTAACTGGATTTTCCCTGATTAAACCAGACAAAGCTAGAGCCAGGCCCTGGATCTAGCTTGACCCATCCAGCCCTGCTTTGAGCTGCTTGTCTCTTCCTGGTGCAGACGAGCCTTAGCCTAACCTAACTTAAACCCTAGGGTTTTAATAATTTTGTTGGGCTTTTTATAGATTTGTTGATAATCCGTCAATCATTGATCATTGATCATTAATGTCATTGTTGTTTTACCTTTAAAACTCACCCGTATATGGCTCAGACTTGATTTTCCCAGTTCAGAGGGTGTTCTTGACCACGGTGTAACACCACTGAATCTCAAAAAGTCCAGCTGCCAAAGACGCACTGATTTTTCTGAAAATTGAGATTTTTATGGGTGTTGTTTGGAAAGTTTAAAAGCTTGAAAGCTCGATGAAATCTCTTTACTTTAAAGCTAACTATTTGAATCATAAAAATACAAATTTAAATGGATGAATCTCCCTTTAAAGGCTTTTAACTGGATTCTGTCCAGTTAGCTGTTAGTATTAATCGTTTAGCTGTTAACGTTAATAGTTTAGCTGGAGTTTATCTAAAGTGAGTGATTTAACTGCTTTCTAACACCAAGAAAGGTTTTTAACTGGATTCCAACACCGGGAAAGGCTTTTAACTGGACTACCATTACAGACATTCGTTTAAAGTTCTAGCATTAAACTAAAACGTACCAAAGAATGAAACATGCACATGTTCGGTTCCTCATCTTCACCATTTGGACAATCTCGATTTCCATTACACAAATCAACCGCTCTGATACAAGGCCAATCGATTGGATATTTTCCTTCGATTAAAGTTAGAGAAATAAAGAAGACAAATTAATATGCAACTTATCTAATATAATAGATTTTATTAATGCGTTTTCGCACTTTATTTCTTTCTGAATAAAGGATTTATATAAATATTTATCTATAAATGATTCAAGCCAAATACATATTGGACACTCGGCTGGGGCATGCTCTGGCAGCTTTTAGAAAAGAGATAACTCAAGACAATTTTTGTACCCATTGATCTGTATTGATTCAGCTTTAGCATAAGTATAAAACGTCAAAACTTGACAAATTTAAGGTACACTCCCAAAATTTCGGAAAGAACTTTTCCATCAACCCAATATCAATTAATCTAATACTTGCTGCATCATAAAGGCCTATTATTTTTCTACAGAATAAAGAAATCTTATGAAAATTTATTTTTTAGTATTATTAGTTTAGTTTAGCATTAGTTTAGTATTATAAAGTTTATATTCTATAGTTTTTTATGTAGGCATGAAGTCGGATAGTCAAAAAAAGGCGACAGCGCGAAGACTTATATTCTCAATTTAAGCGAGAATATAAGTCCACTTCGAGCTAGAGATCTATGACCACTAATTTCAGAATCGGCCTGGCCTTCACAATTCATCGCACCGAATCGGGGCAAACAATCGATCGAATCCCATTCATCGGACACCCCGAGGACAGCAACCGCTCCAGCCACCGCCACCCATTCATCTGCCAATGCACAGCCCGCAACATGTTCGTTTTTGAAAACATTAATCTCTAATAATATTGAACTCTCGCCTTTCATGGTGATCTTTTTCTTCAATCTTTCTCGGTTCAAATTCTCTCGCGCTTGATATCTTTTATACGCAAGTCGCAATTCAAGCGTGTACAGAAGCAATTGGATGGAGTATTGATGAAGGTGCTTAGCACGATTTTTTTATATGGGGAAGCAGGATCCTAGAATGCATCCTTAGAAATGTTTCATATTAAATAAATTTTAGATAGACTACATAGCTGATATGCAGAAAAAAGGGTGGCAAGGTAAAATTTTTTAATGATACTAATTCAAGCAATGAGTTTTAGAATATTTACCTTGTCAAATATTCTAAAATGGTCAGGTTGTTCATCTGAAGCGTCCACATGGGTTTCTGGAAAACAGCTTAAAGCACCAGAAAAGGTACAGTAAGGAAAATAATTTTTACTTATTGTTAGTCTTAAAGTATAACACATCGGGTAAGGTCGTGCCCGTGCACTTAAGCGGGTCCGGGACGGGGTAAGTGGGACGAGCCCTGCCATGGGGCTTAGCCTGAGCCATCCTTCGCGAAATTGCAGTACAGTACTGGAAAGGAATCGAATTATTCATTACTTAGCAGTTTTTCACCACCTTTAATACAAGTACACAAATAATTTTATCTATTAGATTTCAAAGAAAATTCGATGGTTATAGCTATTTTTGAGTGGTCACCAATTTCCAACAAAAATTTAGCTTAAATTTGCTCGATTGAGGAATGTCGCCCGCCGAGTGATAAAGAAGCTCCTCAATAAGCAAAAAGAGTCAGTTTAAAGTTCAATGTTGAAATTAGTTTATGCTTTAGCTTCCTCCGGTTTTTCCTCCAGCTCCAATTTTTTGTTTAGTATATCACCAAAAATCGCCACTCTGAGGATGCTGTAAAAACTTTAAAGAATATTCGTCCGAACGATCTTGGCTGCAACAAAGCTTGCGAATGCAAGGGTGCAATTAATTGCTGTGCCTCGGTATCATGAAAACTATTTTTCTTACTTTTCCTTTAGCATCATGTTGCACAAAGTTACATCCGGAAACTCAACTCGGCAAACTCTAGTTGTGACGTAGTAGTTGAGTGTGGAGAGCATTACAAATGTGATCACATAATGTGTCGTCAACGAGTGCTGCAGGTTGTTGTTTATGTAAATTAGCAATCAAAAAATTCAGGAAGGGAGACAGATACCGTTGGTGCTATTTTGGGAAGGAAGAAAAGGCTGGGGTCTTCGCACAATTTTCAAAATTCCAAAGAATGTTTTTGTCGGTGAATACGTCGGAGAGGTTTGAAAGCGCGCACAGTTTAAATTTATCAAGTTCCTTCAGGTGATCACTTTTGCGGAAGCCAAACGCCGAAACAAACACACAAAATACCAATTCAGTCTTTCGACGGCAATCACAAAGCTCGACAACAAATTCCTGGTGATCGACGCCACAAGCCTCGGAAATGAAACCAGATTCATAAATCATTCGTGTTCAGCTTCTATGAAGCTTCTTCAACTATGAAACAAAGCTGACGGAAATAAGCTTTTCTAGAGTTCACTCTCTCTTCTTTAGAAAGTCGATCATTTGAAAAGCTAACGTAATATTTTTCAAATTTTCCGCTTTTTAAAGATTATTACAAACCAATGCCAAGAATTGACTCATTCCAGCAGGACACAACAAGAACAAGAACAAGAACAAGTACTTGAACATGAACAAGAACAAGAACAAGAAGAAGAACAAGGACAAGAAGAAGAACAAGAACAAGAAGAAGAAGAACAAGAACAAGAACAAGAGCAAGAACAAAAACAAGAACAAGAACAAGAAGAAGAACAAGAAGAAGAAGAAGAACAAGAACAAGAACAAGAACAAGAAGAAGAACAAGAACAAGAACAAGAAGAAGAACAACAAGAAGAAGGAGAAGAACAAGAAATTGAACAAGAAGAAGAAAAAGAACAAGAAGAAGAACAAGATTTGAACATGAACAAGAACAAGAACAAGAACAAGAACAAGAACAAGAACAAGAAGAAGAACAAGAAGAAGGAGAAGAACAAGAAATTGAACAAGAAGAAGAAGAAGAACAAGAAGAAGAACAAGATTTGAACATGAACAAGAACAAGAACAAGAACAAAAACCAGAACAAGTACAAGAACAATAACAAGAACAAGAAGAAGGAGAAGAACAAGAAATTGAACAAGAAGAAGAAGAAGAACAAGAAGAAGAACAAGAACAAGAACAAGAACAAGAACAAGAACAAGAACAAGAACAAGAACAAGAACAAGAAGAAGAACAAGAACAAGAACAAGAAGAAGAACAAGAAGAAGAACAAGATTTGAACATGAACAAGAACAAGAACAAGAACAAGAAGAAGAACAAAACAAGAAGAAGAACAAGAACAAAAACAAGAACAAGAACAAGAACAAGAACAAGAACAAGAACAAGAACAAGAACAAGAAGAAGGAGAAGAACAAGAAATTGAACAAGAAGAAGAAGAAGAACAAGAGCAAGAAGAAGAACACGAACAAGAACAAGAAGGAGAACAAGAACAAGAACAAGAACAAGAACAAGAACAAGAACAAGAACAAGAACAAGATCAAGAACAAGAACAAGAACAAGAATTACAAGAACAGGAACAAGAACAAGAACAAGAACAAGAACAAGAAGAACAAGAACTTGAACACGAAAAAGAACAAGAATAAAAAGAAGAACAAGAACAAGAACAAGAACAAGAACAAGAACAAGAAGAAGAAGTACAAGAACAAGAACAAGACCAAGATATTGCGGGTTACCGGTGAACTGAAAAGTGAGCTAGATTTTTTCAATCTATAGGAGAATTTCTTTACTGCACTGATAATCGCATTGAATGTCTCAATCGTTTTCGGCTCCAATTCCAACGCGTAAATCCTTTTCTTCATAAAGGCACTTGATTGAACTGCGAAAGTCTGAATTTGGGTATTTGAGAGTTGATTTTTATCTTTATTGCAGGCTTTAGTCTTGAAGTTAGACTTAGCTGCTCATCACTAGATTTAGCTGATTATTTAGCCTATGCTTAGACTTAGACGTAGATTAACTTAGACTTAGACTTCTACAACCTCATCTCAAGACAGTACATCTTTCACCGGAAAAATTCCGAGTTTAGCATTTTTTCGTAAAAGAGGCGGAAGTGCTGGAGGTGGAGGACCATTGGGAAATGGATTGGCTCGTGGGAAAACATTCAATCGTCGTTGCCTGTTTCGTCGTTGCCTGTTTCTGTCGTTGCCTGTTCTCGTCGTTGCCTGTTTCGGTACTCAAGTGCAAGAGGTTCCGGTAGACGGGGAAGGACGAAATTAACAAAATCTCATCAGAAATTTCATTTGGTGTTTCCAGATTCCGCATTGTCTCCGATGAAGACAAATGAAGAGGCGGACGTCTGCAAATTGTACGATAAGCCGTTCAACTATCAAAGTTCAGCTTCTATGAAGCTTCTTCAACTATGAAACAAAGCTGACGGAAATAAGCTTTTATAGAGTTCACTCTCTCTTCTTTAGAAAGTGGATCATTTGAAAAGCTAACGTAATATTTTTCAAATTTTCCGCTTTTTAAAGATTATTACAAACCAATGCCAAGAATTGACTCATCCCAGCAGGACACTTTTTACATTTCTCATAGCACCAACATCTCCATTCATCGACGATGCATTTAAGCCCCAACTGAACATTTTTGTCATTTGCATTAATTTTAAGCTCACTAGATTATAAACCTAATTTTAAGATTGATAGAATTTTACTGTAGACTTTATTTATTTGAACATGAACAAGAACAGAACAGAAGAAGAACAAGAACAAAAACAAGAACAAGAACAAGAACAAGAACAAGAACAAGAACAAGAACAAGAACAAGAAGAAGGAGAAGAACAAGAAATTGAACAAGAAGAAGAAGAAGAACAAGAGCAAGAAGAAGAACACGAACAAGAAGAAGAAGAAGAACAAGAACAAGAACAAGAAGGAGAACAAGAACAAGAACAAGAACAAGAACAAGAACAAGAACAAGAACAAGAACAAGAATTACAAGAACAGGAACAAGAACAAGAACAAGAACAAGAAGAACAAGAACTTGAACATGAAAAAGAACAAGAATAAAAAGAAGAACAAGAACAAGAACAAGAACAAGAACAAGAACAAGAAGAAGAAGTACAAGAACAAGAACAAGACCAAGATATTGCGGGTTACCGGTGAACTGAAAAGTGAGCTAGATTTTTTTTTGAATCTATAGGAGAATTTCTTTACATGAACTGCACTGATAATCGCATTGAATGTCTCAATCGTTTTCGGCTCCAATTCCAACGCGTAAATCCTTTTCTTCATAAAGGCACTTGAGTGAACTGCGAAAGAACAAGAAGAAGAACAAAACAAGAAGGAGAACAAGAACAAGAACAAGAACAAGAACAAGAACAAGAACAAGAACAAGAACAAGATCAAGAACAAGAACAAGAACAAGAATTACAAGAACAGGAACAAGAACAAGAACAAGAACAAGAACAAGAAGAACAAGAACTTGAACACGAAAAAGAACAAGAATAAAAAGAAGAACAAGAACAAGAACAAGAACAAGAACAAGAACAAGAAGAAGAAGTACAAGAACAAGAACAAGACCAAGATATTGCGGGTTACCGGTGAACTGAAAAGTGAGCTAGATTTTTTCAATCTATAGGAGAATTTCTTTACTGCACTGATAATCGCATTGAATGTCTCAATCGTTTTCGGCTCCAATTCCAACGCGTAAATCCTTTTCTTCATAAAGGCACTTGATTGAACTGCGAAAGTCTGAATTTGGGTATTTGAGAGTTGATTTTTATCTTTATTGCAGGCTTTAGTCTTGAAGTTAGACTTAGCTGCTCATCACTAGATTTAGCTGATTATTTAGCCTATGCTTAGACTTAGACGTAGATTAACTTAGACTTAGACTTCTACAACCTCATCTCAAGACAAGTACATCTTTCACTGGAAAAATTCCGAGTTTAGCATTTTTCGTAAAAGAGGCGGGAAGTGCTGGAGGTGGAGGACCATTGGGAAATGGATTGGCTCGTGGGAAAACATTCAATCGTCGTTGCCTGTTTCGTCGTTGCCTGTTTCGTCGTTGCCTGTTTCGTCGTTGCCTGTTTCGGTACTCAAGTGCAAGAGGTTCCGGTAGACGGGGAAGGACGAAATTAACAAAATCTCATCAGAAATTTCATTTGGTGTTTCCAGATTCCGCATTGTCTCGATGAAGACAAATGAAGAGGCGGACGTCTGCAAATTGTACGATAAGCCGTTCAACTATCAAAGTTCAGCTTCTATGAAGCTTCTTCAACTATGAAACAAAGCTGACGGAAATAAGCTTTTATAGAGTTCACTCTCTCTTCTTTAGAAAGTGGATCATTTGAAAAGCTAACGTAATATTTTTCAAATTTTCCGCTTTTTAAAGATTATTACAAACCAATGCCAAGAATTGACTCATCCCAGCAGGACACTTTTTACATTTCTCATAGCACCAACATCTCCATTCATCGACGATGCATTTAAGCCCCAACTGAACATTTTTGTCATTTGCATTAATTTTAAGCTCACTAGATTATAAACCTAATTTTAAGATTGATAGAATTTACCGTAGACTTTATTTATTTGAACATGAACAAGAACAGAACAGAAGAAGAACAAGAACAAAAACAAGAACAAGAACAAGAACAAGAACAAGAACAAGAACAAGAACAAGAACAAGAAGAAGGAGAAGAACAAGAAATTGAACAAGAAGAAGAAGAAGAACAAGAGCAAGAAGAAGAACACGAACAAGAAGAAGAAGAAGAACAAGAACAAGAACAAGAAGGAGAACAAGAACAAGAACAAGAACAAGAACAAGAACAAGAACAAGAACAAGAACAAGAATTACAAGAACAGGAACAAGAACAAGAACAAGAACAAGAAGAACAAGAACTTGAACATGAAAAAGAACAAGAATAAAAAGAAGAACAAGAACAAGAACAAGAACAAGAACAAGAACAAGAAGAAGAAGTACAAGAACAAGAACAAGACCAAGATATTGCGGGTTACCGGTGAACTGAAAAGTGAGCTAGATTTTTTCAATCTATAGGAGAATTTCTTTACATGAACTGCACTGATAATCGCATTGAATGTCTCAATCGTTTTCGGCTCCAATTCCAACGCGTAAATCCTTTTCTTCATAAAGGCACTTGATTGAACTGCGAAAGTCTGAATTTGGGTATTTGAGAGTTGATTTTTATCTTTATTGCAGGCTTTAGTCTTGAAGTTAGACTTAGCTGCTCATCACTAGATTTAGCTGATTATTTAGCCTATGCTTAGACTTAGACGTAGATTAACTTAGACTTAGACTTCTACAACCTCATCTCAAGACAGTACATCTTTCACCGGAAAAATTCCGAGTTTAGCATTTTTTCGTAAAAGAGGCGGAAGTGCTGGAGGTGGAGGACCATTGGGAAATGGATTGGCTCGTGGGAAAACATTCAATCGTCGTTGCCTGTTTCGTCGTTGCCTGTTTCGTCGTTGCCTGTTTCGTCGTTGCCTGTTTCGGTACTCAAGTGCAAGAGGTTCCGGTAGACGGGGAAGGACGAAATTAACAAAATCTCATCAGAAATTTCATTTGGTGTTTCCAGATTCCGCATTGTCTCGATGAAGACAAATGAAGAGGCGGACGTCTGCAAATTGTACGATAAGCCGTTCAACTATCAAAGTTCAGCTTCTATGAAGCTTCTTCAACTATGAAACAAAGCTGACGGAAATAAGCTTTTATAGAGTTCACTCTCTCTTCTTTAGAAAGTGGATCATTTGAAAAGCTAACGTAATATTTTTCAAATTTTCCGCTTTTTAAAGATTATTACAAACCAATGCCAAGAATTGACTCATCCCAGCAGGACACTTTTTACATTTCTCATAGCACCAACATCTCCATTCATCGACGATGCATTTAAGCCCCAACTGAACATTTTTGTCATTTGCATTAATTTTAAGCTCACTAGATTATAAACCTAATTTTAAGATTGATAGAATTTACCGTAGACTTTATTTCCACTCGATTAATGAGCTTTTGCAGATTTCGTATACAATTGAAACAAAAATGACGGCACCAGAGTTTTGCAAAAGAGTGGAAAAGTTGAGAAGGTCCGAATTGAATAGCTGAAGGGTTAAAGTTAAAAGTTTTCATTAGATTCACTGGCATATGTTCAATAATATCTTCTAGGAGATTCAAGAATATATACCTTGACGATTTGTTTTAGATCAAGAACAAGAAGAAGAAGAAGAAGAACAAGAACAAGAACCAGAACAAGAACAGGAAGAAGAACAAGAACAAGAAGAAGAACAAGAACAAGAAGAAGAACAAGAACAAGAACAAGAAGAAGAACAAGAACAAGAAGAAGAACGAGAACTTGAACATGAAAAAGAACAAGAACAAGAAGAAGAACAAGAACAAGAACAAGAAGAAGAAGAAGAACAAGAACAAGAACAAGGAGAAGAACAAGAACAAGAAGAAGAACAAGAACAAGAACAAGAAGAAGAACAAGAACAAGAAGAAGAACAAGAACTTGAACATGAAAAAAACAAGAACAAGAAGAAGAACAAGAACAAGAACAAGAACAAGAAGAAGAACAAGAACAAGAACAAGGAGAAGAACAAGAACAAGAAGAAGAACAAGAACAAGAACAAGAAGCAAGAACAAGAAGAAGAACAAGAACAAGAACAAGGAGAAGAACAAGAACAAGAAGAAGAACAAGAACAAGAACAAGAAGAAGAACAAGAACAAGAAGAAGAACAAGAACTTGAACATGAAAAAGAACAAGAATAAGAAGAAGAACAAGAACAAGAACAAGAACAAGAACTTGAACATGAAGAAAAACAAGAACAAGAAGAAGAAGAAGAACAAGAACAAGAACAAGAACAAGAACAAGAACAAGAACAAGAACTCAAATGATGATGGGACAACAGGGACAACCGATGATGGGCCAAGGCCAATACATGATACCATCACAAGGACAACAAAGTGCACAACAACCACCACCCGGTCAATGGCCGTCCGGATATTAAGAATTGTAATATTGAAAGGTTGGATTGTTCAAGTTGCTATCGGTGTTGTGAAATTGTCCAAATCTGAGTCAATCTGGATTTGTTGGGTTACGGTAGAATCGATTACTGTACAGAATAAGATAAAATAGGATAAAGAAGAATTCAGACTGGCTCTCTATTCAATCAAAAACCAACAAGCTGTTTTAAAACGATTTTAAACCGATCAAGGCTTGCATCAAGCTTTGAACAGTTCGTAATTTGTAAAACTTGTATAATTTAGCAATTTTGAAAAAGATATTGAAACCAAAAGCCTATTCTGACTATTTTCTTGAACAATTCAACTTTTTGTCTACCCAAATTTGCTCAAGCAGGCTTGAGCTTTAAGTTGTTGCCAAATTCTTTTTTTTCTAGAACTTAATTGATCGATTTTATGCCATTCAAAAGATTCAAAAGATTCACAGTCACCAAATGTTCTAAATCAAAAAAAATTTACGCACTCTTTCTTTCCGGATGATCCCTTATTCGATAGAGCTTCGAATGGAATGCCATAAAAAGTGATCGAACATTGAAATGTAGCGTCTTTCGTACGCGCGTCGGACACTGAAACGCCAAAATTTTGTTCTTCTTCTAATACTGAAACACCTTAAAAACTTATCATAAACTGCGTAAAAACATCTAACCAATGAAATCCATCTAACCTCCTAAAACACACTTCTCACCCGAGTCTGACCAAGTCCAGACTACGGTAGCCTATCCGTGCACATCTTTCCGAATTCTTTTTAGTCAACGCCCAATCGCAACAATCCACAGCGATCAGACTCATCTAATGCTTTCGAAAACGATTATTTGACTTGTTGCAAGATGATCGATTATCAATTTAAAGAGGAATTGACACAGAAAAGGGAACGAGTCGAGGATTTATTTTATTTCGAAGGATCAAAGGTGGGCTTTTGATTGGATAAGGGAATTTGCATAAGTTAAAACTAGTAACTACTTGGAGCTGCAGATTTTCCCTTTAAATTACTGTTTAGAAGTATTATCTAATCTAAGATTTAAATCTAAAGTCCTAGAGATTTATGTTATGATATCTTGACAACAATTTCACGAAGCTTGTACGCTTTATAAATTAGATATTGTCCTTGCAGATTCCTGTAGATTGTCCCTTTAAATTATTATTTATAAGTTTAAGAAATCTAAAGTCATAGAGATTTATGGCATCTTTGACATGACAACAAGTTTCACGAAGCTTGTTCCATTCGCTTTATAAGTTAGATATTGTACAATTCATTTTTTTTATTCAATGTAATCAAAATTATATAATTTTTCCAGGTTGGAATTACTGTTTAGAAGTGTTATCTAATCTAAGATTTAAATCTAAAGTCCTAGAGATTTATGTTACGATATCTTGACAACAATTTCACGAAGCTTGTACGCTTTATAAATTAGATATTTTCCGATTCGTTTGCAAATGATTCAATATAATCAAAATTACTGCTTGGAGCTGTAGATTGTCCCTATAAATTATTGTTTAGAAGTTTAAGAAATCTAAAGTCCTAGAGACATCTTTGACTTGACAACAAGTTTCACGAAGCTTACTCCATTCGGTTTATAAGTTAGGTATTGTACAATTCATTTTTATATTCAATGCAATCAAAATTATATAATTTTTCCAGGTTGGCCGTGGCACGTATGGACTCGTTTTCAAAGCGATCCCAAAGACGCAAAACGAACGATATCCGAAGAAAGAATACGCGCTGAAATTGATTGAAGGGAATGGCTTCTCGACGAGTGCTTGCAGAGAAATCGCATTGTTGAGAGAACTCAAGTAAGACTGTTATTAGATTTTATTGCTTCTATCAATGATCATCTAATTTACAACTCAAATATAATCCTTCAGACATCCAAATCTTATCCGATTGCAACGGGTTTTTCTGACAAACGAGAAGAAAGTGTGGCTACTCCTTGACTACGCAGAACACGATTTATGGCATATCATCAAATATCACCGGGGTAAGTAAACGAATTAAGATCTTGGAACGACAAAATCTTCAAGAACTTCCACACCTTCCATGACTTAAAGTTTACCATAAACCATTTCCAGGTGCTAAGGCCAAAAAGCAACCAGTCCTTGTGCCACGAGGAATGGTCAAACCGTGTTGTATCAAATATTGGAGGGAATTCACTACTTGCATCAGAATTGGATATTGCACAGAGATCTTAAAACCGGCGAATATTCTTGTGATGGGCGAAGGACCGGGTGTACAAAGGGGAAGGTGGGATTTGGAGTGATCAGTTGCAAAGATGAATCTGAAGTCAAGTGTTGCTTGACGTTTGATATATCTAAAATCTATTCAACAATATGCTCAAGAATGCTTTATCATCCTTGGTTTGGCTTCACTTGTCTTGGCTTGTAATTAGAGCTAGAAACAGGACCAACTGCAGAAGTATTAGTCTATTCTATAGTCAAATCCAGATCTCTTTACCAATTTTCCATTTCCAGGGTCAAAATCGCCGATATGGGTTTCGCGAGAGTTTTCTAATAACCGCATTGAAACCGCGCTAGCTGACTTGGACCCAGTTGTCCGGTCGGTATTTTGGTATCGAGCTCCCGAGTTGCTACTTGGCGCCAAGCATTATACAAAAGTGAGTAAAT